TCCCTTTCCCCAGCTTCCATGCCCAGGTGTGTGCAGGGTCGAGCCATGCTCCTGCTGGGGTGCAGCTTCCTGCCCACCCACTGGGGTTCTCAGCCAGGCCCCTTACCCTGAGAGCAGTTCCCCCATGGGACTTGCACAGAGCCTGATGCCACCAGTGAATGCTTTACACTTAAAGCCTGGGGGACCTGCAGTGCCCTGTACCCTTATGGCTCTCCTGTCCCAGGTTCACAGAGCTGGTGGATGGCAGAGGGAGGATCAGTGCCAGGTTTGGCACGGCGCTGGGAAAATCCATCACTGTGAAGACACGTAAGTGCTCTTGTGCCTTTGTGCCCTGCTCCTGTCAGCCAGTACCATCTCCTGCACCTCCCTGCAAGCTGGGGTGGCAGCCAGGCAGGCTGCTGTAGGGCTGGGGGAGCTGAAGAGGAGGATGGAGCCCTCTCACTTGGCCCTGGGCAGGCAAACTCTGCTCTGCTTGTTAGACCCCTGCCCGAGGAGAGGGGGACTGGCTAGGGGAGCCCAGAGAAGGATCCTGGCTGATGGGAGGCAGTGCTGACTGTGGCTGCCCTTCTTCCATGCCAGCAGCAGCAGGGGCCTGAGCAGTGGCTCCATAGCCCTCCAGTGCAGCCCAGTGCAGCCCCCACTGTCAAGAGCAGCCTCACACCAGAGGAGGGTGCTTGGGTGAGAAACCCCTCACTAGTCCCGACTTAACCCCCATTTTCCATCCCTAGAAGACTGGGGGCCAACCCAAGATACCCTAGAGCACCTGTGAACCCCACACCATGGGGTGGGGAAGGGGCCTGGCACACCTGAGGGCAGCCCTTGGCCTCATGCACATCCTGGTTCTGCCCCTGCCTCCCCAGGACTGTGTGTCCCAGCCCCTTCCAGGAGGAGTGAGAGTGTCACCCCAATTCTAGGGTTGCTGGGGAGGGTTAGAGCACTGCCTCAGGCCTGACCAGTCCCCCAAAGCTGCAGGCAGGCTGGATCCCCTTGGAGGAGCTGCCTTTGGGTCTGGCTCTGGCCTGGAAGGTGACATTTAATCCTCTCATTGTCCAGAACCAGAGGCTCCAGTGAAGCTGGAGAACACAGAGGTGTCCAGCTGGGACAGCCTGGCACTGCAGCTGCGTGAGGCAAAGAGCAAGAGTAAGTCCCAGGGGGAGACCCACAGCAGCAGGACCCAGCCCTGGCCCCACAGGCAACCTGCTCAGCACCAGCCTGCCCTCCTTGGAGGCGTGGCAGGCACCCCCCTGCTCTGCCTGGGAGCACCCTGGCAACGCCAGGGGCTTGGCAGGGCTGAGCTGTGGCCCCAGGCTGACGGTCGAGCGTGTTTTGCAGGAGAGGGGCAGAACTGCTCCAAGAATCCCTGCAGGAATGGAGGCACCTGTACCCGAGATGAAGAGTCCTACCACTGTGCCTGCCGCCCGGGCTTCAAGGGCCGGGTCTGCCAGCTGGGTGAGTGCCAGCCGAGGGCCAAGCTGCCTCCTGCACTGCCAGGCTGGTGGCTGTCCCTGTCACAGGATGTCCCCCAGCATGTAGGTCACCCAGCACACCCTGCCAGCGCCCAGGGGCTCCCACAGTGCCCAGGCTTTGCTAGAGATCTGTGTCATGCTGGCAGCTGAGAGAGGGGCTGGGCTCTGCTCTCAGTGTGAGGAGATGTGAGTGCAGGTCTGGTCCCTGCTCCTGGCTGGGCTCTCTGCCTGGCAAGCCAGGCCCCTGCCTTACCCACAGACTTAGGTAGGCAGTGTGAGCCTGGGGGCTCTGCTTCTGCTGGTGGGCCAGCATGGCCAGGAAGCCAGGGGGGCCTCACCAGCCCCTTGCCACAAGGCACAGGCAGGCAGGGCCGGGGATGGGCTCAGTGGTAGCTCCCCTCTCCTATTCCCCAAGCAGCCTGCAAGAAGGTGCCACACTGGTGCACGCGGCTGTACTCGGAAACCAGGTCATTCCCAGTGTGGGAAGGAGGCACCTGCCACTATCTGTGAGTACTGCCTGCAGGTTATGCTGCCCCCTTCCCCTTGTGCTCTGAGCTGGGGGTGTCTCCCTGCAGCTCGGCTTTGGGGAAGGGAGAGTGAGCACAAGGCTGTCTCCAAGCCCAGCTGGCAGCTGCCCCCTCCCCAGTGCAGGCTGAGCAGCCTGACATGTCCCTGTGGCCACCCCAGCTGTGCAGCAGGGCAGGGTGGTGCTGAAGTGACAGCCCCATGCTGGTGTTACCCACCCACGTAGCAGCAAGGTTGGATTTGGTGTGTGTGATCCCCAGAGAGCAGCAGATCCCATCCAGCTCCTGGCTGCCTCTCCATCTGTGGGCAGAGGGCTGGGGGAGCCCTGATGCAGTGCCAGGGCATGGGGGGTTCTGCTCTGCCCCGGCCTCCCTGCGATGGAGGCACAAAGGCCTGGCTGGGATCAGTGCTCCAGCACAGCAGGCTGAGCCCCATTGGTGGCTACTGCAGCCTGGAAGGAAATAGGGGAAATACCCAGACTTGCCCTTCACTCTCATCAAAGCACATCTCTTCCTTCTGTCCCCTACACTCACATCTCCCCTGTGTGTGCAGGTCCAGGAGAGTCTACAAGGTACAGCAGGATATCTGCTACAAGGAGAGCTGTGAGAGCACCAGTTCCAAGGGGACAAGCAGCAGGTACAGCACACTGGATGTGCCAGCCTTCCTGGGATCCTGGACAGGCTGGAATGCCCCAGCATGCATGGGGACACCCAGCTGGGGGTGGACTGCTAAGGGGTACAGACATGACCAAAGCTTGGATGCCAGAGCTGTGTGCTGGCCTGTGAGCAATGGCCAGGGGCCTGGGGCTGACAGTGCTGTCCTCCCTTCTCTTGCAGAAAGCCAAGCAACAGTCACACACTGAAGAAGCCATAGCAGTAAGTACCTGCCCCAGCCCTCCTCAGCTGCAGGCAGGGCCAGTGCTCGTGCAGGGAGTCAGGGAGGTGGTGCAGGCCAGGGCACAACCTGGCTCATGCCACCATCTTGAGGGGGTGTGAGTGCTTACAGCTGAGGGCTCCTCGTTGTGGCTGGGGTGGAGGCCATGCTCTGCTTCCCCCTGGTTTGGCAATTCCATATGAACAAGAGATTCCTGCATAGAAAGGCCAGGCAGAGGCTGGAGGCCTGGGGGCAGCAGGTCCCCTTCTCTCAGCACAAGACTGGTGCACAGGGTGGGAAGAGACCAGCTCTGCACACCAGCTCATTTTACTCCTGCTCCTCCACAGGGTTTAAAGCAGTAGAAGCTTCGTCTTTCCACATCTAAGGGCTTATTGAACACCAGGAAGATCAGATCTGCTCACTGGGTTGAACACAGCAGGGGAGCCTTCCTGCCTGGTGTCAACCTCTCCCTCTCCTGCAGCCCATTAGGGACACGCAGCTGGATCAGCACTCTGAGTAGTGCTCCCTTTCCCCCTGCTGGCCCAGCACCGCCTTTGCTGGCCCCCTCTGCCCCTGAGGAGCTGAGCAGCAGTGCCCCTGGAGGGGCCAGCCCTGCTCAGCACCCCCAGCCACTCTGCACCAGCGACGGGCTCCCCGCTTCACTCAGGGATCAGCCCAGCTCCTTGCCAACAGCATCTGCACCAATCTGTTTTCCTAATCCAAGGTTAAAAATTACCTATAACCCTCCAATAAAACAGTTTAATGCAGACCAAAAAGCTTTAGCCATCACCTGCAATCTGGCCCCCAAAAACATGCTCTGAGGAGAAGCCTCTGTAGATGAGTTAGAAATGGTGAGCAGCTCCGAGTGCTGAGGTGAGCACGGGCAGTAGAGGAGCATTCCTGTTTCCTCTGCTCTAGCAGGGGAAACTGAGGCAGCTTCTACTGCCTGCCTTTTTTCTTTGCTTTGTAAACAAGCCCTGGTTTTAACCAAATTTCCAGCTCAGAAACCAATAGAGCACCTAAATAGAATTTAAAATGTGATCTGTAGGGTGAAATCTGTCAGCTGAGGCATGCCAGTGCCACCACACTTGCAGCTGCCTCCACAGCAGTGCAGGGCACAGCAGAGGCCTGGTGAGGAAGCCATCCCCACACACCATCCCTGCCCTGCACATCCCTGTGGCACCAGTGCTGCAGGGTTATGTGGAGGAGAGGACCAGCACCCAGCACTGCAGCAGGGCAGGCGAGGAAAGAAAAAGCGTAGCTTAGAAACGTTCCTAGTTTTTGTGAGTTTGTATGACAACACTAGTTAAACATAGATTTGTGTATTAACGTACACGGTGTATATTATAAATTAACACATACCAGAGATATATCGCAGTTATGGTATAGAGCCTCACGGCCCCAGCAGAGTGGGACTGTCCTGGTGGGCAGGGCCTCCCCTCCTGCCAAGCAGAGCTCTGTTGCTCAGCCACGTCTCAAGCAGAGACAGGCCCAGGAGTTTCAGCGCTCCTGCCACCACCCTCTCCCTCCTGGGAGCAGTGTGACAGTGCTCAGCCTGGGGCAGGGACACTGTGGAGCCACGAGCAGCTGGCCAGTGTGCTGCTCCCCTCCTGCACCACCTCCAGCTTGGCTCCCACAGGACAGACATGCCTTGTTTTCCTCCAAGGCTGCCTGGTCCTGCTCCAGCTGCCTGGCAAGCACAGCAGCCCTGCCTTCCCAGGGCAGGAGAAGCAGCCAGCCCTCCCTAGCAGGAAGAGCAGGGCAAGGGGAAACCCAGACAGGAGAGTTTGGAGCTGTGGTCTGAAAGTATTTGCACCACTGCTCTGCCAGTCACGAGATCAGCACTGACATGGGCTGTGGAGGGGGAGGTGGCCCTGCCATGGGACAGTTCTGTATCCCAGGACCTGTCCCCACAGCACCAGGCAGCCTGGTCCCACTGCCAGCCAGCAGAGCAGCCCACAGCCTCCTGTCCCACAGCTGGCTCAGTATGTAATGCAGCCAGAAGGTTTTAACCTAGTCTTGGAAATAAATTAGGGGTTTTTGTTTGATTTTTTTTTTTAATAAAAACACTTTATGGAAACTGTTTTGTTTTGTTTTTTAAAGCAGTTGGGCAAGGAGGAGGAATGAGTGGTGTTGTATTTGACAGATGGGATTTATTGGCACCATGGGGCCCTGCACCCACCCCAGCTTGTGCTGGTGTGGGGTGGGAGCCCAAAGCACCCAGTGTGGGTGCAGCAGCAGGGGAGGGCTGGCACCTCGGAGCCTCACCTCATTCCCGGGCTGTTCTACTTTCATCACTGTCCAAATCATCATCATCATCCTCTGTGTACAGTGCATCCACATCCTCCTCTTCCTCCTTCTCTTCCTCCTCTCGAGCCAGCAGCTTCTTGAAGACCTCAAACTCCTCTGGGGTAGAGTAGGCCAGGCTGGCCAAGAAGTCTTCCTCCGGGAGCTGAAGGATGTCCTTCAGTTTTGGGTTATTAATTTGGGTCTGTCCTTTGTGCGGGGTCTCGTAGAGCCCCCGGCGCTCCAGGAAGATGTGCCGACTGCGGAGCTCGGCAAAGGGCATTTGGAAGAGGCGAGCCTTCACCATCTCCTTCTGCTGGACCCCCATTCTGAAGTAGGCGTACTGCGGGCGGCACGGGGGTGTCAGGCACCGCCCTATTCCCGCAGCCCGTCCCGCCAGCAGCGCGGGTCCCGCTCCTCACCTGGAACTGCTGATGGAGGGTGCGCGGCTCCTCCCGCAGGACGGCGGGGCAGGTCCCCAGCACCTCCCGCAGCTGCTCCGCCGTGAACAGGCAGCGCTCCCGCAGCAGCCGCACCGCCGCCTGCAGCCTCTTGCGGGGCACGTGGAGGAGCTGCGGACAGCGGCTCAGGGCCCGCTGCAGCCGGCCTGCGGGCAGTAGGTCAGCGGGCAGCCCGGCGGCGGAGCCCCGCCGTGCCGCCCGCAGCCCCGCTCGCTGCCCTACCTCCGTCCAGCCCCAGGCGCCGCAGCTCCTCGGCGCGCTCCCGGAGCCGCTCCGTGGGCAGCCGCAGCAGCGCCGGGCTCCGCTCCAGCAGCGCCAGGGCGGCCTCGGCGCTCAGCCCGAGCAGCAGCAGCTGCGCCGCCGCCGCCTCGCGGTGCTCGGGGCCCGGCCGCGACCCCGCCCCGGGCAGCGCCGGGAGCGGGGAGCTGGAGCACGCCGGGCACAAACAGCCCGGGGCTGCGGGCAGAGCGCCTCGTCCGCTCCGATGGCCGCAGAGCCGATCCCCGCCGGGCCGCGGTGCTACAGAACGCAGTGAGGGCGCGTTGTTTGAGATAGCAGAGTCCAAAGCTGTTGCCTTTCCCCAGCACTTCCTCCCAAGCAGCCTGGCCCCGGCTGGCCTGTACCCCAAAATGTTCCTGCTACCCATGTCTCGACCAAGTTCTCTTTATTGAATCTATTTTTTCTTCCCACTATCTGTCTCATCAAAACTGAGGACTGTTTTCCTGAATATAGGCCAGACTCAGATACTAAAGAGAACGACACTACCAACCCAGCCCTCCCACCCAAATAATGTGATTACCTGTCTGGTTTTGAGTCTCCTTTGTGCACACATATTCCAGAAAACCAACAGACATGTTATTATTTATTTATATAATATAGTCATTTATTCATTCACTTTTCAGAAAAATATATAAACTACATATAAAAAGTAAAACCAGGCAATAAAAATATTTCCCAAGTTATGAGCAATTTAAACAGCATTAAAATCTTCGCCTCACATCTTTGAAACATGCCCTGGGTAAGAACAGTAATAACCTGAGTCTATGTGGGTAGCAGCAGGTAACCTTGCAATGGGACCTATCCTGCTGCAGAGCTCAGAGTTTTTAAGTCATCCCTCACTGAAGGAGCCTTCAGAGCGAGGTGTCAGAGGCAAACACCTCGTGCCAGGTGTAATGTGCCAGGTTCACGGGCTGGCGCAGCCAGGGATGCTGTGCCAGCCTGGCCAGGGTCGTGCGCTGCTCTGGGACGGGGTGCAGGAGCCCGGCCAGCAGATCCATGAGCCCTGGCAGAGACAGCACAGGCTGCAGTTCAGGCAGGTTGGGAATGAGAGACACAGTCTATGTTCAAAGAAGGACAAATCCCCCCAAAAAAGCTGCACTGAGCAGCTTCCCACATCGTCACAGAACACATTAGGGAGCATTTTTTCAGTTTTCCCCTTTATTTTGGGGTGAAAAAACACTGCTCATACTTTCCCAGGAGATCTGCTCCTTTTGAAAAGCAAATGGGAAGAGCTCACCTTCAGACACGGGGCGAGGAGGACTCAGGACAGCTGCCAAGGCTTCCTCCAGCTCACAGAAGGGATTCTCCCCAAGCACCAGGGTGTAAAGGGTGATGCCAAGAGACCACATCTCCAGCTCAGGGCCATGGTACCTGTGCAGAGATAAGCTTGCTTCAACTCAGATTGCAACTACAGAGCTGTATGCTAAAGAAAGTGAAAAGAAAAAAACAGCCTTGAAAGCCCTTGCTTCCAATTTTTATTTTAACATAGGAAGTTTGTGGGAATTCTAAGAAGGTTCTCATGTGTTTGAGGAGTCTGCATTATCCTGCTCCAGGAAATAAAAGCAAGCACAGAACAGCCAACCAGTTTCTGCTGATGAGTATGAGGTGTAACATGCACCCAGACTTCCACATACCTAAGCTGGTGACAAGAACTTACCCCTCCACCTTCTTCATCATCAGCCAAAACTGTCAAGTAAATATTTAACTGCAAGAGCAAACACATCCTCCCAGCCCTTTCAAAACAAAAGTTATTTGGAAAAAAATGTTAACTGTCTCAATTCCATCTGAGAAAACATGCCAGTTCCTTCACAGTAAGAGGTGGAACTCCCAGGGCAGAGCTGCTTGCTTCACCTTTCATCTCATTCCCAGCAGGAATTTCCTCTCCTTGCATTGCTTCTCCCCCCACTGCTTTAGGAGGAGGACCCATGGAAACAGCTGTGAAGGAGGAGCAAGATCCATCCAGGCTCGTGCATTTACAGCAGTGCCACCCCTGTGGTGGGGAGCTTTATTGTGGAGCACCAGCTGCCAGGTACAGAGCACTTGGAGAGGGAGAGAAGAGGGAGGAGAGCCAAGATCTAGGCAGCATATCCAAAACAGCAGCGAGAGAAGCTGCAAGGGAAGAATCCTGGAGTCCCAAAGAGCACGAAAATCAGTGGGGAGATGAACAGGGATCAAACTGCAAAAATTCAAATAGAGGGGAGCACGTAGAAAAGAGAACAGAGAGGATGAGAGTGGGAGGATACAAAGCACAGACATGCAAGGAAAAGGTGCAATCAACAGCAATACCTGCTTACTCCACCTCTGAAAAAGCAGCTTTTGCTAGAGAGAGCCTGACAACAGTTTTAGAAACACTTTTGAATATATTCAAGCTTTTACAATTTGATTTCTGTTACTAGAGTGCCCTACTTTGTATGCACTCAGACCTTCACAGTGATTTCTGGCACTGCAGTGCCTTAAATCTGGCTGCATTTCCTGTGGTTGGATGCTCTAGCAGCACTCCAATGGCACAGCAGCTTGGCTTGTGTTCCAGCCCTGCCCACAGGGGTTATTTTTGGTGTGATGGCACAAAAATGACTTTTCAGAGAGTGACATACGGTTTGCCAGACAGCACTTCTGGTGAGCAGTATTCAATTGTCCCACAGAAGGTATAAAATAATTTCCCAGGTTCCAGGTAGGCAGCTGAACCAAAATCCACTAATTTAATTGTGAAGTCTTCAGCAATGACAATATTTTCATCCTTGATATCTCTGTGAAGGATGTTCCTGCAGTGGAGGTACCCAACAGCTGATACAAGCTGGAAGAGACAGAAGGAACTGGGTGTTACTACACAGAGTCCCTGAATAATTGATGCAGCATCACAGCTTTCCCAGAGCCACATTTTGGCTTGTTTTGACACTGCCTAAACAAGATATACATCCTAATGATGGAAACTGAAATGGCCTCAGGCCTGCCTGTCACCATTGCTGCAGACACTTTAAAGAGCCTTTGCTGCTTTCATCTCACAGATGTGCAGGAGGAGGGGATGCTGCAGTCAGGATGTGATTGAGAGCATTGGAGCTCACTGCTACAATCCTGCAAGTTACTCTATTTTTATCCCAGCTTCATTTGGAGGGTCCTTTGGTTTCTCCAGAAGGATATCACTGTGTGCCTTCCATGCTGCAGGATGACAAAGCATTTGAGAGCCAAGTTTGGTATAAATAACATAGTCACTCCTAAAGCCCATTCTTTCTCCTGCACGATTCATGCTTTAATGCCATAATTAAGGATAATATGAGAATGATATCACCTTGGAGATGATCCTGACTCCTACAATGTTTTTAACAAGAAAAGCAGATGGCTGAGGGAGAAAAGTTTCTATTTTTAATATAAATCTGCCTCTGCAGAGAAATGCAGTGCAGATCTGAGGGAACAATTCAGCCTTCCAAACCCCAGGCTGGGTTAAGGAAAGGGCTGATCCATCACAAGGCTAAAGGGACACCTTTGGCTTCCATCTTCCTTCAGCACCCCAGGTGAGGGCAGGGTGGGCACAGCAAAGGTTTTGGGGGGGGTTACCACACACAAGCAATTCCTGCATACCCTAGAGCAAGAATTTACTCCAAAACTCGTGAAGAGAAATTACCTGGGGACTGCTGCTGTGGCTAACTCCCTAAACAAAGGACAATTCAGCCCTCAGGCAAGCTCCTGGCTCATGGAAACGACCCTGAATTACTTTGCATTATGCCACCTTAAAATCCAATATAATTTCTTGATTTAAAGAGCAGAGCCCTTTACTCCTGTAACCAATCTAAACTAAGCACTGAAGTAAATGAAAATGTGGCTTTTTGCAGGCTTGGGGCAGCTTCTGTGAGTTTTCCTCCTCCCTCAGAGGAAATGTGAGTGCTACATGAAGTGTCTGGGTGACAGGGCTGTGAGTTTTCCTGCTAACAGCTGAGGGGCCATGGCTCCACGGGAAACCCTCACAGGCAGGAAGGTCCTGGAAAGGCTTTTTTGTTGTTTCTAAGTAATCCTTACCAAGGTTTCTGCAGGCAGCATTTCAATCAGCCCTACAGAATGGGGGGGAAAGGTTCTGCAAGTATTGAGCACAACTCCAGTGCCAGTTGTCAGCCAGTATTAAGTGGAACAGAATGCTGGTTCTTACATTAACCAATTCTCACCTGCATGGAGCAATTCTGCTCTCACCTGTCTGAATATATAACTTGCTAATGGTTCATCCAAGTTGGGCTGATTATCAATAAATGTAAAGAGGTCCAGACCAGATCCATGCTTCTCCATCACCAGCTGGAAGAAGCAATCATTTTCAAATACATCCAGCACCTATAAATAAAAGACCTGTTTAATCATGTGCTTCATCCTCAAACATTGCCCTTTTTTTAAAAACAAAGACTGTTATCCTCTTGGAGATTTAATTGGTGTATAAAATAATTTTTAAAGTCTCATTTCACTAAGCACAAATGTTTCTTGAAAAGACTACAGCATTAAAACTGGGAGCAGAAATAAATCTGAGAGGAATTCTCTTTCTGAAGCAAAAAACCCAACCAACCAACCAAGAAAACAACAACTCCAAAACCAAAACCAGCAACCTCAAAACAAAGAGTGTGAAACAAGATGTGTCCAGATTATTTACTGAACTGGTACATGTTCAGATGTGACAACACACTTCCAAGATATGCATCTCATCTTGAAATAGCTTTTTTTCTGTTACGAATCCCATCTTCAGATCAGTTTGGGGTAAAAGTGTGGAAGCAAGCAACAATCTGCTGTGACACACCCTCCTAAACAAAACAGGATGAACAGGTTCCTTTCTCTCCTGAAAGGACAGATTCAGTTCAGGACACTTCACTCCTGAAGAGGAACACCAGACACCCAGGATGCAACCAGACCACCTGGGGCAGTGCAAACTGCATCAGTTCCCAGCCACTGTACCTTAATGATGCTGGGGTGCTGCAGCTTCTGAAGGATTGCAATTTCCTGAGTGACCCTCCCCAGGTCAGGATCATCCACCCAGCAGTCCTCCAGCACCCTCTCCTTCCAGATGAACTTCACAATAACCTACAAGGCAACAGCATTCAGCATCATCTGCCAAAGCAGGGCTTGGAGTGTCAGCTAAGTTAATTTCCAGGAAATCTGTTAGTGCCTCACATTACAAGAGGCATGGAAGTGACCCCATGTGATGTGAATAGCTTAAGTATATTTGGATGTGTTTAAATTAATTTAGTCCTAGAAGCCAAATGATACACATAAATGGAATATATTTATTGCTGCTCTCAATTCCAAAGGCTTTGGCAAGCCAGCTCTCTTATCAACCAGTTACAGCACATGGGTGCAGTGGAGGGAAAGAGCACTAAACATCCAACAAGAGAAACACCAGAACTTGCCCTCTGAGCACCCAAAATACTTCTCCTGGAAAAGATACTCCTGAAAAACAATACTTCTCCTGAGAAAGAGGAGGTGCATCATCTCAACACATCTACTCCCCATTCTTGAGTCATGGCACAATACAGATTTTGAGGTTTGCCATTCTCTTTAGTAACAGAAGAATAAAACCTATAATTCTGTTAAGATAACTGTCTACTTCTTTCAACAGGTTCAATTATCTGCATTAATTAGTTAATTAACTCATTCTGCACCTGTTGTCTCAGGTAACATTTATACACCACATCAATGCAAATGTTGTGCTATCCTCTTTCCATTACAGATTTCTGTTTAAATGAAGCAAAACCCCAAACTACCAAAGAGAAGCTTTTGACAGTATAATGTTAACAGAAAATGAATGCTCTAACCTTTCAGTTTTCATCCTGAATTATTATTGCAATAGAGCAACAAGAAATACTTCACCTCCTGCTGATCTTTCTTGCTCCTGGCACTCCAGACAAAGCCAAAAGAGCCTTTGCCAATAAGATTGAGAGTGCTGTAATTTTTTGCATATTCTCCTTCACATGCTCTTAATCCTTCAAGATCTTCAGCTCTTTGGGAATTGTTGAAAAGTGAAGCTGATCTGATGGCCTAAGTACAGATATATGGGTTACAATAAGAGCAAAAAATGACTAGCCACAGAATCACAGTTATGAAAATAATAAATACTGAAAAGAACATCTGCGTGAATAGATAAAATGAGGAATCTTTGGTACTGATAGTGACGACTGCACTACATATATATATATATATATATCTTAATGAGTGTCCTGCAGTTTGGAACTGCACTGTTCAGGCTGGACAGGTAACTACACTAAGCCCCACACCACAAGTGTTACAAAATAGCAACTGAGATTTTGTTTTAGTATATTTAAAAAAAAAAGTAGGGAAAAAAAAAAGAAACTAACATCCACCCCACCAACTCATGTCATTAATTTGAAAACCCTTTTGACTTTAGCTTCAGCTTAGCAGTCAAACAAAGAGAGATATGTTCAATATTCAAAGGCAGGATTTCTTACTTCTCCAAGACTTTTAGTAGAAAGATCAGCAACAGATTGGGAAGAGTTTGCCAGGCTGGCAAGCAAATGCTGAGTCTTTGCTACAGCTTCTTTTTGGCTCTGTGAAATGTCTTTCAGCACCCAGACACAGAAAAGCACAGAGGGATCCTGCAGCTCTGCACATTTCACCTCGAAGAGTATGCCTGGGGAAACAGGTGAGGAAATGAAAATTCCAGAATGTAACTTTAGTGCTGAACAAGACCACAGGTGTTTTAGGACAAAATTGAGAGCTCTTGACAAAAAGTGCAGAATTTGGGGAAGTGCTCAGTAAAGAATCTTCAGAGGGGCTGACAGCAGCACAGCTGTTCTAGAGGTACCTATCAGCTGCCTCCAGCAGAGACCTGTCAGTGTCCAATTGTGATACTTCATTTCACACTGGTATTCTAGATTACATAAAAACATGGATTTTATTCAACAAGCCATGGAATGCAGCTGAAGGAGTGAATGAAGCAAATTCCATTATACAATTTTAATGCAATTTACAGTTTTACTGGAGTAAAACTGGAGTTTGTGTTTTCTGTTCAGAAAAAGTTGTCAGGTTCACAATTTTTAATTGTGTCTTGAGAGTATTAGGGGATTAATTTCTTACCAACTTTGTATTTGATACCACCTCCTTTTCTGATACCCTCTGGGTAAACTTAAATACCATTTTTTTTCTTCTAGATGCTTCTTCCTTCCTCTCCACTGTGACTTTTCTAACCAGAACTGTCTGCATTCTGCAAAACTGTGGGTGAAAAGGAGCACCCCAATAAGAGTTTGGGAAGGGGACAAGGTTTCACTTACTGAATTGTGAACCATCTCTGTGACAGCAATTCCCAGTGTAGCTGCCTTCCAGAATCTCCCAGGCCAAAGGAGCTGCTGGATTTAGCCTGCCTCCTTGTTTCACTGGGGTGGATGTTACTTTGATCTCCATATTTTGCTGCCTGAGGAAGTGACAGTGTTCTTCAGGCCTTCCTTTGCTTTGCAGGGGATTTCTGTTGGAGCTGTCCCCCACAGCTTCTGCAAGGGTTTCAGGTTTCTCAGGAAATGCTTTGGAGCATTCCTCAGACTTTTGTAAATGCCTTCTGGAGGCCAGCCATCCAGAATCAGCTTCTGTGGCAGCATCACTCAGCAGCTGCTTTCCCTGATGAGTGGGAAAGGCACAGTTGGTCCCAATTAGCACATTGGAGTCTTCTGCATCAGAGCAGCATCCTCCTACAAGAGCTGCAGTAACACCTAAAGAACTGTGTGAGTTCCCCTTGACACCAGTATTCAGCCCCAGTACCTCAAGAGCAGAGCAAATACAGTTCAGTTCAGATTCTTTCACATTTTCAGAGGTTGTGGCAGCTCCTGGTGCAGAAGCACTGCAGCCTGGTTTATTTCCTGAGCAAACATCACAGCCAGTTTTTCTTTCACATGCAAAGAAGGTAGAAGGATCATTTAGCAGGCAGCTGTCAACAGCAATATGCTCCAGGCTGGAATGTTTTGCATCACACATGGAGTTTGTTTTTGACACCTGCCCTGGAACCATGTGGCTTTTCAAGTCTTGTCTGCAGTTCAGAGCTGTCCCAGGCCATGGCTCATCCACTGTTGGTGTTCCAGGTGAGTTCCAGGTGCCTTCAGAAGGCAGCTTCACTGGGTCACAGGCTGCTGCTTTTAGCTTGTCCTCCAGTCTGGAACAAACAGGCAAGAGTTACTGCAGGACATCCTGCACTGTGACAGCTTCTCTCTGCAGTCTCCAAGTTGTGACCTAAATCCCACCGTTGTGAGTCAGGTGGTGGGTGAGGGAGCCTTGCAGAGAGATCTTTTGAGAATTATTTGATCCTGAAGTTTCCACTGTTCTGCACTGTGCCACTGCTCTGATTGTGTCAAGCCAGCCTTTGGGATAAGGCTGAGAGCCCATCTGTAGCAAGGCTGTCCTCAGTGCAAAGACTCAAAGTTATCAGCAACATCATGATTACAAAATAAAAAAACTGTCCTGCTGTATAATACCCATTTAAATATGGTCACTGTTTAAAACCTGGACCAATAGATTTATTTCAAGTTAAAAAGCAAAAGGCAGAAAGCTGTTGGCACAGGCATCCAAAATCCTGACAAATTTACCAAAGAAGAGCAGGTACACTCAAATGGCACTCTTTCCCTATGGATAATTTCCTTCTCTAGCTTAATTTCTAAATATAAATCATAAACCATTTACCACCACAAAAAAAAAAAAAACCTAATCCCCATGGCAGGTGTTTTGCCAGTTGATGGGGGTGATGGAATGGGCACTGACACTAATGGAAAGAATTGTCTTATTTTACTGTTAATATTGAGGCAACACAGAAGAAAAAAAGATACATTTGATAAAACAATAAGGTTATTACCCACTCAGCTTTAGCAATAAGCAAAAATAAACAAGGTGATGCATCTAATCATTACTACAGGAGAAAGAAAAGTGATTGAGAAAGATCCATCAGCAATTGCCTAAATACCATCATCCAGAGTCTGCAATTGCTGGGGAGCACCTTTTTTCAGTGAGGACCTGGAGAACCCTTCCCACAATTGGGAAAATCCCATGCAATGCACCTACTTGTAAGTGAGGTCTCCAAGTTTGCCCAAAAAAGGGGTCCAGCTTTATAGGCCCAAATCAAACAGTCCAAATGACTTTTTGTGCAGAAAACATCTGGGTCTGATGGCCCACTTCCCAACCAGCCAGGGCCAGGCTGAGAGGATTTTGCCTAAAATACTCTACTAACAAGCCTCCAGGCAGAACCCTTCCCACAATTGGGAAAATCCCATGCAATGCACCTACTTGTAAGTGAGGTCTCCAAGTTTGCCCAAAAAAGGGGTCCAGCTTTATAGGCCCAAATCAAACAGTCCAAATGACTTTTTGTGCAGAAAACATCTGGGTCTGATGGACCTGATGGTTGGTTCCCAACCAGCCAGGGCCAGGCTAAGAGGATTTTGCCTAAAATATTCTACTAACAAGCTTCCAGGGATATCTGTTGGGACAATTTCTTAATATACCTTACACAAGGTTAGACAAATGTCTCTACAACAGCAGGTCTGGCATTAAGAACAACTAATAGAAATGTTTTGACCATCTATTTTTAACTAAAGAACCTTGATGGCACTAATAACATCATGCTCAATATTCATCTTGTAAGTCAATTTGGTGCTCAGGCCTCAGCAGGATGCTCCCAGTCTTAAAAACAGAAGTTCCCTTGTCTGTCCAACAGGAGATGGATGTCTCCATGCATCAGGGTTTGGAGATATGCTGTGACAGAAACCCAAGCCCTGAAAAAACAGCCATTGCCCAGCTACCTGTAATACTGTAGACTAAATCAATTAGTTTTATGTTAGGCCATTAATAATGGAACTGTTTAGGAAGTATGCAGAATATCTACATCAGGTCACTTGTGTGATGAATTTTAAAATGACCACATTTAAAACCTTTTTATCCACCTAAAGTGTTTGCTTAATGTACTCATTGATTTCCAGAATTATACCATGTTCAAAAATCTCTAACAGGGAAAATACAAAAGCTTAATACAGCTTTATAGAGTTCATATAAATACATGTACCTTTAATAATCCATCCAGGGCACAAGGTATTTTGCAAACATTTCCATTAGTAAAAATGCAGCATAGAAAAACAATGAAGCAGAGCACTTACAGTCCTTACTTACAAGTATGATACGAGAGATATCATACACAAAAAAATGACACTATCAGCCTCTTTAAAAAGCAGCAAGATCTGTGCTGTAATAGTCTATACCTTAAAATGGATAGTAAATATTTACTGTGGTGGAGAAAACCACAACTGGAGCAGAGTTGTAGCTAGAAGCCCTGAAAAAACAGCCATTGCCCAGCTACCTGTAATACTGTAGACTAAATCAATTAGTTTTATGTTAGGCCATTAATAATGGAACTGTTTAGGAAGTATGCAGAATATCTACATCAGGTCACTTGTGTGATGAATTTTAAAATGACCACATTTAAAACCTTTTTATCCACCTAAAGTGTTTGCTTAATGTACTCATTGATTTCCAGAATTATACCATGTTCAAAAATCTCTAACAGGGAAAATATAAAAGTTCAATACGGCTTTATAGAGTTCATATAAATACATGAGAAATAAATAAATGCAGAACTGTACCTTTAATAATCCACCCAGGGCACAAGGTATTTTGCAAACATTTCCATTAGTAAAAATGCAGCATAGAAAAACAATGAAGCAGAGCACTTACAGTCCTTACTTACAAGTATGATACGAGAGATATCATACACAAAAAAATGACACTATCAGCCTCTTTAAAAAGCAGCAAGATCTGTGCTGTAATAGTCTATACCTTAAAATGGATAGTAAATATTTACTGTGGTGGAGAAAACCACAACTGGAGCAGAGTTGTAGCTAGAATTGTTAATGTGGAAGGCTTAAAATTTGACTAAGGTAGGCCACGAGCATCTTGGCATATGCACTTCTACAGAATTTATAACATTGTAACAAGAAAAAGATCTGGAAATGTACAAGAAAAAATGGCAGGACTTCAGGAACACAGTACCCTCTTTTAATGGATGACCTGACAGTTAACCAGAGGAATAACACTTAGAATTGCCTCCAGGTAACCTGACTGCAGTGCAACACCAGCTGGAAGGAGATAAACATCCACTTTTCATGATTAGTGAGCCTAATTACCTTAGTCTGGATGAAACATTTGGTCCCCTTTAGAGCTGCAATTTCTGTACCTTTACAATGGTAGCTTGTGCAGATAGAAATAAAAATGTAAGGCAGGGACAGCTCAGCCTGTCTTGCAAACAGCACGCAGATTCTAAAGACAGCAAAGCATGGAAGGCTCTTGCTACACCTTCCCACAGACATCAAACAGGTGAAAAAATCAGCTTTTGCTGGTGATTGCCATCACAGCTCTTCATTTTCCCAAGTGAATATGCAGTCTGTGAAATGCCTACCTGTTATTGGGGGTGGATGCTGCTTCAGGAGGTGAGGGAGGAGGAAAGAAACTGGTCCCATTCTTTTGTTTATTCTCATCATGTATTAATTTGTCATCTTTGTGTTGTTGCTCCAATTTCTGCTCTTCATCTCTTGACAGAAGGTGTGCTAAAGATGCAGCCAAGAAGCTGCTCTCTGTACCAAACAGGAAACAAAACCACACCAATTTAAACTTGTATATTTAGGCTTCGGAGGCTACAGTGATTAAAAATAAACTTGGAGCTGCCTTGGTTTGTCTCTTTCCTAAGGAATTGAGTATAAAAGGCTTGATTGAGGCAAACCAGTCAAAATACAAGCATTCCACTCTACTTTGAGAAATCACCACATGCAGGAATCTACATGTTTTAGGGCTGCCAAAATTTGCTTTTCTAGCAAAGCTCTTGGGCAGATATTGGTATCACACATTAGCTACTTCAAGTTCAGAGGCCTAAAAAATGCCAATAATGTAAAGAGACTGAAATCAAAATGATCATACAGCAGCAGCATTAAAAAAAAAGCTCAAACTACACATATACAGCCCATTCCAAACAAATGTAGTGGAAAGGTTTGGACTGGATTTATGTAACTCACTGAAACTGTAAGATAAAAAGAGTCTAAACATGTTTGGAAGAAAAGGAGAGGAAGTTCTTTCCTTCCCCAGTGATAACAGATCAGAAGAAAAAGATGAGTTTGGAAGATGAAGTAAACCAAGTATTACTGCTGCAGAAGAAGGTAATGAGTGAACAAATCTAGATTTGAATCTAGAACAATGTTTAATTAGTAACAGCTGAGTGCCAACAATGCTTCCTCACTGAAGAACTGAACTACTCCTACATTAGGGGCATCATTTCATCAAAGAACTACCTAAGAAATTGTACACTGTTTACTAAATCTTCTTTGTTCCAGTGGGTGCATTGGTTTCAGCACAGACCTGCATTTCTAAGCAAAGAGAAAAAAAAAAATAGGGGAAAAAGGAGACAAAACCAGCCTAAAATGTGATATGGATGAAAGCATGAACTTGCTGGTGTTCTCTGTGTTGGGCAGAGCTGGCTGGAAAAGACAGATATGGAAACATGAGGCTTCTTTGCTTCTCTTTATTCATGCTGTGTTCAGAGAAGTAACATTTTGGTAAATTCTGATGCAAACTGCATCAGAGGAATAAGTGATGTCTCCCTGATTGAAATACAGCAACCATAACACTGACTATTAGCCAGCAGCACAAGCCAAGTCAGAATATTAGATTTTTCCCTTAAAATATTAATCCTAAGTAGCTACAGCTCTGCTGCAATACAGTCACAAAAGCTATATTTCACACATTTTAAAATACCATAGGGTATTTTAGCAGGGAAGGGAGGGAAGGAAGGGAGGAAGGGAAGTGCTTGTTAAGTACAAAGTATTCTCTGTTCTCACTGTAATTTCCAAATTGGATATTCAGTTTTATCTTCTTGGCAACGAAGAGAGAAGCTCAATCTTAGGTGAACAATTCTCTTTACCTGAGGTTATAGTGGAAACCTGATTTAAAAACTGCATGGATGGGCATTGCTTTTATGAAGAATGTTCTCTTTTTGTGGGTGAACCTCTTGTTCTGCTGTTTCCCCTTGGTTACAGCAGCCAGAGCCAGCTGTATGGCAGGCACTGACACCTGCCAAAAGGCACTCACCTTCTGTCCCTGTGGGATCATCCAGAGGAGGTAAAGGCAAAGAGCAGCCACTGCATCTTTTCATGTTGTTATAGAAACCAGGGATCAGGAATGTAATGTTCTAAAACAAAGAACAAAACCTTATAAAGCTAGGCCAACTCTCACAGGGTGGGGGCAAATGCTGACAATCTCTGTCTGTGAGCCTGATTCTCATGGACAGCCAGGCAAAAGTGATCCACATGACCAATGGAGAACACAGGACTGTGCAGCTTGCTTTGGGCCACTTGAAATCCATAGCAGCTCCTCAGCACTGCAAGTCTCAGCAATTCCAGCATGGGAATTTGCATCCCACACCTCACTCAATAAACATGTGGAACACAGGGGTTTTGGGATGGCAAGGAGTGTAAAACAGCTTCACAATTCCAGTGGGTATGCTGCCACATGTATCAGTCTTCTGGGAGGATATGAACTTATCTTACCTTTCCCAACAGCTCTTTCTTCTCATAGCCAAAGAGCATTAAAGCAAAACTATCCGTGATGCCACAGATGATTCCATCTGACTGGACAGTGATCAGGCCACTGATGGTGGAGAAAACCACAACTGTAGCAGAGTACTGATAGCTTGGGAGAGAGCCTTCTGCCTGTGGAATCTCATCTTCCTGCATTGCTTGCTCCTGCTCCACGTGGCTGACTTCCAGCTTTAAACTGAGAGGAAACAGGGTGCCCTCTCTGCATCGACCTGCAGCTCGCTGGATCCTGAGGGTCTGAGCAAAGAAAAAATCCCAACCAAGCAAAAGTCAAACAGAAAACCTCTAACCAGATGTTCTGGGTTTATTGCATTGTTTGTATAAAATGACACGGGAATTCTCAAAAAAAGGAGCAGAAAAAGAAAAGGAACCAATCTTGTGAGTATCAAAATGAACAACATCTGGCTTTTTAAGGATTTGGAATCCAGTGTTGAAATACTGAATAAATATGCTGAAGATGAAGACCAGTCTATGTTGCAGCTTATCAACAAATTAGGCATTAATAAGAAGGCCTCCTTCAACTCCCTATCTGCCCATTTTCATGGCATTTGCAAGACCTGGGTATTCTTTCACTCCTCAGATAGACATGATTGAAATGGGCTAAAGAATTAAAAGGAATCTTAAAAACCTTACAGAGAGAGCACGGTGTCTCACAAAGCTAGGACTGAAGAAAACTGTCTTTGACCAGGCCAGATTCCAGTGAGAAATCAGGGCATAGTCTCATCCAGGTTAGGAACTCTTCAGACAGCAGCTCCACAAAAAGGCAGCCCACCCTTTCCAGGGGAATCAGGCTTCTCCTGAAAAGGCTTTCTTCTGTAATGTAAGGAGGAAAGCAGCATGCACTGCAAATGGGAAGGCTGTGGAAGAATGAGGCTGGTGCTTGTACTATACCTTTGGGATTTTTTTGCCTAGAGGAGGGATCTGCACAGAAGGAATCAGGTCCTTTATGTGGAGTCCAACTACTGTTTCCAATGTTGGGTAGCCATGGAGATGAGCATAAAGGAGATCACAGGATGTAATTTTTCCCTGGGGAGGAAAATTTAGAGGATTGTTAAAATTTTAACATTTTAGCCACAGTCCACTCAATGCTTTGACAATGGTTTCTGCAGTTACCTAAGCAGTGGCAGGAAATTTCATTCTGCTGTCCTTTGGTGGACACAACTCACTCAGTAAAAGCAGACCCAGCATAAAAAAATATTCCCATATCACTGTGCAGGGAGCCTGCCTTTTGCCCAGGAGAGAGGCAGAGGTGTCCAGTGCTCCTCACAGAACTGTTCCTCAGCCAGATCATCCCTTCACAAGGACATCCATACCCCAAAGTACCAACCCCCTGCCAAACCAACACTGCTCAAGATAAGATGTCCCCTGAGGAGAGAGAGTGCATTTCTGTGTGGGTTATCAAACACATCAGGGTGAGCCTCACCAGAGATCCATGCACAGCCCCTGCATGCACAGCCCCTGCATGCACAGCCCTGCTTTCAGGCCCTGCCACGGACACACTCCATGTTCACAAACAGCAACCTGTGCCTGCTGCCTTTCAGACACCTTCCACTCCCACTCAAACTCTCACAAATTGCAATCTGGTTTGGTTGTTAGGAAAACACTTACCTCAGCTGTGAAGGAGACACGAGCTGAAAGTCTCTCCACTGGTTCCAGCACAACCACACAACGCTGGCTGTCCTTGCTTCTTATTTGCCTCAGCCAGACTGAGACAGGGATCTTCTCATTGAGGTGGCCAAGAACATCCACCTTCCCACCAGATTCAGAAATGGAGACATGACTTACTAAGACTGTGGTCACTTAGAACAAATTTCAAACAGGAGTAAGAAACTGAGCCAAGATACCTCCCTATCATTATCAGAAAAACACCAGACATGACTTACTAAGACTGTGGTCACTTAGAACAAATTTCAAACAGAGTAAGATACTAAGCCAAAATATTTCTCAGCCATTATTAGAAAAACACAATTTCTTGACTACTTACTAGTATTTTATGGGAACACAAAGAGTTTTAATACAGAGATTAAAATGTCTGAAAATAAGACAAAATGTTGCTACTTTTGTACCACCTCTCCTCGCCTCAGGAAGTCTAAAGGCATAAAGACTTCAGAATAATAAATGTACCACTCTAACACCTTGCATGCAGTGTGAAGTGCCTCTCAGAAATGTCCTATTTAAGGGATGTCCCATGGTGCTAATGAACACTCGCAATTAGTAACACAGTCCTTACTTTCTGCTGCAAAAACAGCAGTTTAATTTCTTTTGGGAGGAAATTCTTCTAGATCAGAAAATGTTTGTTTATCTCATAGCCTGCAAGGCTCATCCCAAACCTTTTATGATTTTTATATTATCTTGACAGAATGGGTTTATGACTTACACACTGAATCCTATAAAGTATTTGGAACAGCTTAGATTAAATGCCTCTGTGAGACATTTAATTTTAATTCTCACTGAATCAAACTTAGATCTTTGCCCCCACACCATATCCAACTGAGGATTCAGGAAGATAAGGCTCTGAGATACCAACAGTTTCAGTTCAAAAATAACACACCAGAAAGGATATGAGCTCATTTTCCAAGGACTCTCTAGTGACAATTCACAACAGCAGCAAAAGAAAATAACATGGAGATTTTCTCATGCAGCTCTCTTATAAATAACCCCATTCTAGGCAAAAATAAATTCCACTCTTTTGCACTAACTATGCTGTTTTGACACAGACATTTCACAGCATTTCAATGGCTTCAACCTTTATAATATGCACAATCTAAAGATAATTTAAAATATATTTTTAAGGACCAGACATTTGGGACATTTTCCACAATAGATTTTTTTCATTAAAAAATCTAATGTCCTTTAAGTTCTGATTTGATCATGTCACAGTGACTCCATGTGTTGACAGCTGCAAGGTTCTCATGGGTGTCCCCTTGAATCATCTTTTGCCCTTTGAATTCCCACACCTGCAAACTTTTAAACCAAACACTCCTGCAAATGACACAATTGCCAAATGACCACAGAGTTAAATATATCAGGAAATTATGTAGAAAATGTAAAAAAAAAAAAAACAACAAACCCAAACCAAAGCCTACAAAAGCACTTCATGTGGTGGAGAGTATTTCCTTGAACATTTCACATACCACAGCTCCAGAAACCACTGATGAACATTCAGAAGTTTCCAGGTACTCCTCACCCACTGCTTCCCAAGCCTCTTGGCCAGATTTGGATATCAAGTGGGACAGCTTTTGACCAATGAGTTCCTGGCTACTGCACCCAAGCAACTTGCAAGCTTGGTCATTGGCCACTAGGATCTAGAAAAGAACAGAAAAAAACAAACCTAAACAAAGAATAAAATGTTTTAAGAGCTCATCGTCTCCTCAGGTTGTTGCTTTAATGTGTTTAATGTAATATCCCTTTCTCTTGGTGGAAATAAAATGTTTTTTTACAATTCTGAGTTCATTATAGGTTCTTATTCTAGGACATCCCTTGCCCACACATCTTTTTGGTTAGGAGGTTTTGAGCCATTGCTTTCCTTTTAGGTTTCCTGCTTTCTTTTAACTGTAAACAATGACATCCATGGAGGCAAAACTACAACATTTCATTTGCAAGCAAAGCCCAGGCAGCCACAAAATTGCATCCAAGCTCAGAGGTGTGCAGTGATCACACTGCTCACACTGGAGCCTGTGCAATGGAGCAAGTTGGGGCTCAGTGTCATCAAACTAAACTCTCAGCTCAAGCTAAAACATGGCACAGCTCTTTACAGGTGTCAGAACCCATTTTTAGATTCTTCTCAGACAGGAACAGAGAAATTCTTTCCCTTCCAATGCAAATGAAATGTTTACTGGGGCAGATAAAGGAATCTTGTGCCACCACAAACACGTTTCAGGGTTGGTACTTCACAGAGAGAAGGCTTGAAGCACATTCTGCTCTTCCTTTCTTCCCTCATGTCACTCCACAGCTGCATTCTTACAGAACCATTGAATCCCAGAATGGTTTGGGTAGGACAGGACCTCAAAAACCATCCACTTCCACCCCCCTGCTGTGGGCAGGGACACCTTCCACCAGCCCAGGCTGCTAAAAGCCTTATCCAGCCTGGCCTAGAACATTTCCAGGAATGGGGAGTCCACAACTCCCTGGCCTGTGTGAGAAAAGCCTCAATAAATCCTTGCTTCTGCTGTTACTGTGTGTGTTTTACTAACTACAACCTGCCATGGAAACAAACCCATCAGCCTTTAGAAGACTACTGAGCTGGAGCAGACTACAAAATACCTTCATGGCACTGATTTCCTGCAGACACACAAGAGAAAAACAGTGATTTCAGCCTGCTGTCACACAGCCTGCAGCCCCTCTGGGCAGCTGGGTGCTGCAGCTTGTGCTGCAGGTTGTGCTGCAGGTACCTCTGTTGTGCTGGCATCCACGGTGAAGACGGCTCGGTTTGGGTTGCGTGCAGCAGCTGGGAGGTGCTGGCTGGATTCCTCCCCAGCTGGGCCGTGCAAAAAGGAGCAAGAGCTTCCAGGGGAAGCAGAGAGAGAGGCAGAATCCCACCGAGCCCACGGGTTACCAGTTCTGCTGGCACAAATGTGACGAGCTGTCAGAGAAGACAAACAGTAAGAGCTGCACTTCTCCCCTGTGAAAACATAAAGGTCAGCAGTGTTGCTGTAACAGGAGTATCAGAGGAATAAATTAAAGAAAAAAAAAGCTGGCAGCAACTGTCAAGTAATCCCAAAATACATGCTTCTAGATTTTTAAAGAAAATAAAATCAGTGAAACTAAAGAAAGCAGAAACTTTTCTAATAAATTTGTCTTTTTGAATCTGGAACACATAAGCTTAGTCCATACCACTTGCCAACATTCAAAAGTTTTAACCAGACTAGTTAACTTTTATTTTTTACTTAGCAGTTTTTTAAATGTTTTGAAATATCTCTAATTAAAAAAGAAACAGTCATTAAATAATTGCACTAAGTGCTTAAGCTCTTACTAAAACCTGCATTAGCTGGAAGCCACTTAATTAACTGTTCACAGCATGTGACACTGAAATATCTGTGTCCACACCACTGTCCTAGGCTACAAAGTGCCAAGAGATTGCACAACAATTTTCAAAGGTTCTGGGAGCACCTATCCAGTAATGTTTTCCCTATGAGCTCTCCCAGCCTGCAGCAATCCCTGGCTCAGGTGCTCACTGAACAAGTGCATCCCGGCAGATCCATATTGCTGTTATCTCTAGGTTTGAGGAAGGGGAAGATCTGAAACTGCCCAAAAGCTTCGTGGGAGCTCAGAGTGCTCACCAGGCAGTGATGCTCCAAGCTGACAGAGCCCTGAGAGACGACTCCTCCTGCTTCTGCTGCCCCAGGGGAAGGATCTGCTCAGCAGATCAGAGTCATTCAGGTGAGTAAGGACTGATGGAGACAGTAGGGCCCCTTCAGAGGGGCTGTAAGCCATGATCACACTGGTCACCAGCCACGCCTAGGGAGCCACCACCACCTGCAAGAGAATGAAAGGACACGGAGTCAGGCCTGCAGCAGGGACCGGCGCTGGCAGGTGACGATGCCTTGCCATCCACAAGCCTGCAAGTGACAGCAAAACGCTCATCCCTGAGCGTCCTGCTCTGTGCTCGGTCTGTGTGGTTAGCACAGAGCTGGATAAGCATCCCGCCCGGGTGAGGGCTCCATCTCTCTGGACTATCCACGGAAAATCTGGATTCTGCGATCCTCCTGGGCCCCTTCCAACCCAGAGGCTTCTGCAGGACGCAGTGACCGACAGGACTCCACCGCCGCATCTCCTTCTGTCAGCGCTGCTCAGCTCCCTCCCCTCTTTCTGCTGGCTTTGACACCACAACCTTTGGGTAACTCGGAAACTCACTGGCAGTTCTGAATCGGCAAGTGCAGCGCAGCCTCCCTCACACCCGGGCAGCCGGCCGGGCCCGCGGCTCGGGGACGGGACGGGACAGAACAGGACAGGACGGAGCAGGACAGGACAGGACGGGAAGTCTGAAGACGGGACAGGAGGGGACGGGAGCGGTCGGGTCGGGTCGCTCCGGTGACGGCCGCGGCCCCTCAGGGCGGCCGCCCCAGGCGCGCAGGGGAGGCGGGCGGGACCGGGCAGCCACGGCGCCAATGAGCACAGGCGCTGTGCGAGCGGCACGGAGAGCAGCAAATGGGGCACGAGCGCGGGAGGAGGCAAAACAGCCCGCGGGCCCGGCCGGTCGTTGGTCCCGCCGGCCTCCCCGTCCGCTTTCCCCTTCCCCGCCGCCGCCGCCACACGCCGTGCCCGCGCTCCGCGAGGCAGCGCGGCCCACCTGCTCCGGGGGCGGGGGGCTGCGGGTGTAAAGCCCTTCCGCGGGGGGATAGCTGTTCGTCCCAAGGGTTTGTAGGCGGGAGGATGGGACCGAGAGCAGCGCGTAACGCGTCCGGCTCCAGGCGCCGGCAGAGGGGCGCAGCTCCCGGCCGCCTCCCGCACAGAACTACAACTCCCAGGAGGCCGCGCGGGGTGCGGGCGGGGCCCGCGGGCTGTGATTGGCTGGGGCGGCGGCGGCGGAGGCGGTTTCCGGAAGGGGCGGCGGGAGGCGGAGCGCTATGGCGGCGGAGAGCGGAGCGGCGCCGCAGGAGATGATGGAGGGTGAGAGCCCGCCGCGGCTGCCGCGGGGCCGCGGGGTCGGGGGGGCTGCTCCAGCGCCGCCTCCGTGCCGTGCTGCGCGCCGGGAGGGCCCGCGGGCCCGGCGGGGGCGTGCAGCCCCCGTGTGTCCGGCCCGAGGGCCGGTGTCCGGCGGGGCCGGTGTGTGTCACCGCAGGGCGGGATACCCGCGGGGGCCAGGAGCAGGGTTGTGGAGATTGCCATGACGCAAAAAGTAAAGATAAGGAGAAAGAAGGCTTCAGGGTGGCGCTGGTGTTGCTTAGTGCCCGGTGAGAGCAGAGGAAAGGCTGAGGGGGCAGCGAGCAGCCTCTGCTGGCCCGGGCTTCGCTTATCCTGAGGGGACCCGGCAGGCTGCTCGGGGGAGGCTGCTCTTACCTGCGAGGATTTTTTTCACTTCTTCGTGTCATTGGTACTATTGTACATGATACTGATTCTTTTTTATTTTTTTCTTTAATTCTAAAAGCTCTTAAAATGTAATCGTTCTGATTCCATCTCCGTAATCTTTGGAATTGCACTTCATTGATCTAAGAAATTTCCTTTTTCCTCCAGTCTTCTTCCCAGATTGTTGGTTTTAGGAAGATGTGATGGGAGGAAAAAGTGCACCCAAAATCAAAGTAGAAACAAGGGGTAAGAGGCCTTTTATTTAAGACTAAACCTTTCATTTAGTTAACTTAGGATTTCTACTAACTGCCTAGTCGTTTATGTGAATCCTGGTTATTTCTCCTGCCTGCTGCCCCTGTGCTGGGAGAAGCCTGACTCTGCCTTTCTGTGTCTTGTGCAGTGGACAAGAGGATCGAGTCGGAGGAGTCGGGCGACGAGGAGGGCAGGAAGCAGGCGGTGCGCCTGGTGACGGAGCTGAGCCAGCAGAGCCTGCGGGATGAGCAGAACGGCGAGAGCTCCGCAGGTACCGTGCCAGCCTCGGCGCCGCCGCCTGCCGGGGTAGCCATGGGAACCTGCCCCGGAGCCTCCTCCCGAATGGCAACGAACCCGGAGTGTTGTCCTTGCTAGAATAAAGTTGCCTGCTTTTTGTGGAACTGCTAGTATAGAGCTTTTTTTTTTTTTTCCCCTTGTTTGTTTACCCATCCGTGTTCGGAACTGCTAGTATAGAGCTTTTTTTTTTTTTTTCCCCCTTGTTTGTTTACCCATCCTTGTTTCTCTTTGAAATATTTGATGTCGAAATGGAAAGAGTCTTTATTTATATTTTTCTTTTGTGGAAATTTAGATAACTTCTAATGAAAATCTTTCCACATAAAGTATCATAAGGAGCTTAATTCTGCCTTAGTTTATGTAGTTTTTTTCTGCCTACAGAATTGCCAGGTTCCTTTGGAAGGCAACCAAGACTATTTCTAGATGGCTTGAGGGAACCTGTCCCTTTTGTTGTTTTAATTTTTTTTAATTAAAACAACATATTTAAAATGTTCTAAGACATCTCAGAATTATATATTTGAATCCTCTTGGGTGTAAACTTTTCCTCCTGATCCCGCTGTTTGCACTGGAACATGGGGTAGAAACACTGACAGGCTTTAAAGCCTGTGGATGTTTGATGGAAGGGTTTTCAGTGCCCTGCATGGAGCTTGTCAGAGCAGATCCATTTCTGCACACCCTGTGTGGTGATTTCAGCAGAGCTTTTGGTGCAGTCTGAAGTGTAACATCATCCTTTTGACAGAGATCTCCATGGTATCATTATTATTATTATTGGGATACTGGAAGGGAAATAATGAAAGAAATTGTAGTTCTTACAGCAGATCCCTGCTCATCTTAACCTTGCACATTGGGATTTGCCAAAGTATCTTTCAAACTGATAAATTGTTACTAGAATTTTAAATCTCTTCTCATAACTAAATGCCCTCTATATAGATCTAATTTTTGCTGATAGTTTAAACCCCCTAAATATTGCTAAAGAAATGCTCTTCCATGCTTCATGGCTTTGCAGACTGTGCATCCCCAGCACTGTGCAGTTGGTGGAACCATGCAGATCAGACAGAGCTTTCCCCTGCATGCCTGGAATCCTGAGTGTTTGCTCAGCTGCCATGACTTAGCTGTGTGTTGGAGGTTGTATTTTGCACATTGTTCCCCTGGGAGTTCTATGAAAGGAAATACAGAAGTGATGTACTTTCACTCTAGGGAAAGCAAGAAAAGCACATTCAGATTTGTTTGCTGAATTACATTTGTGCACTGTTTAATATAATGACTGTATTGTTGCTTTTTCCAAACTGTAAGCATTCAGAAAACTAGGGCAGGAACCAAGCAGAGGAATAATTTGTGAACATTTGAGATACTTTCCACAGCCAGCTTTGAATGTCTCAGCTGAAAGGAAAATGATGAGTTTTCCACATTTTCTTCACAGAAGATCTTAAGTAGCTTGAACAGCTGAAATTTCAAATTCATCATTTAGCTAATTCTCTGAGGAATAGAACCTCTGGTTAGAAATCATGTAACTGAGCTATTTATAATATTCTTCATGCATATGCACTTAAAAAGTGTAGTTAGGCTTTTTGGTGATTGAAATGCCTGTGGTACTGTGAACTTACATAACTCAGTAATGACTGTTCCCACTGTGGAATTTGGGTTTTCTCAATGGAGGATTTTTTTTTTCCACCTCTGCAAAGGCATGTGGCTTGCAGGCATGGGTTACACAGAAATTCACTTAGGAAACTTCACTGCCAGAGTGATGGGATTTTTTCCATTGAGAAGTGTGGAGTAAAGCAATTTGCAAGGGAAATTGCAGTCCTGGCTGTAAAGTGCTTGTAGGAGGGTCAGTTCAGAGGTTTTTTTATATACAGTCACTTCATAAATAAAATGACTGTAAATTTGCTAGAACCATTTTTCTCTTCTTTCTCCTTCCTTTTTTTTTATTTTTTATTTTATTTTTCTGCTCTTGAGAGAAAATGCATTTTAACATTTTCCTACCAATACTGATTTACAGCTCATACCAGACACACATCTCCCTCAGGCTGCTGTGTGCTTTATACACAGAGCATAGACTTCATGGCAGTTGACTTCAGTACACAACAGCCCTGCCTGTGTGTTCAGTTTTAAATTTCTTTTATTTTAGTGAATTCAGTGTGTATTCTGTGTGATTTGGTTTTGCAGCTTTGGATTTGAGTGCTGCTTTCCACACTGGCTATTGTGAGAGGGCTCTCAAAGCCATATGTCAAAATTAAGAGGAGCCTCAGAACAGAGTATTTAACACATTACCTAAATCAAGTGGTAATAAATTAAAATATTCAAACTTCCTAGCCAAAGTCAATTGCTTGAATGGTGTTTTTTGCTGAAGATTTTTCTCTTCACCAAGTGTGTAATTTGCTTTACTGTTGGACAACTTTAAAGTCTCAAAGGACCTGAAACTCAAAAATTTCCTCACCATGACCACTAAGTTACTGCCAGTATCACTCAATACCAGGGGCATAATTTGGATTTTTCATGTGATATCTTCAATAACTGTTGTTCCAAAGCTGGGCACTGTTCCTGTGGGCTGTAAATTCTGCAAGGCTGCTTGTTTGGCTTGGAGCTCTTCTCACTGAGAGTCTTTGCACCCAAGAAAGAGGCCAGAGAGGTACAGCCTTGATAGCAGCAGGGTGGGGCATCCCACTCCCTTGCTGAAGGGCAGAGCTCCTGATATGGAACTAAAATAAGAAAAAAGCAGGCGTTGCTCACTGCTCATTGCTGACAGGCACGTGTATGTCTGTCAGTTTTTGGTGGCATTTCTGTCTTGCTGTTCAACATCCCCAAGACTACCAGCTCATTTTGCATTCCTAAAATATAATTTATGTTCCCCGCTATTAAAAAAGAAAAAAAAAATTGCTTTTTCAGTCTTAACTTCTGTGAATCAGCTCAGTGAGTCTCTTTCCTGTTTAAATGTCCAGGCAAGAGCAACAGCCCAAATACAGGAAGGTCAGTGATGATCTGTGGACCACCAAACCCTTGGAGCTGGATGGTGGCATTAAAAATGGTGATGCTGGTACTGTTTGTGCCTGCACTGCTGCTTGCAAGGCCAAGCATCAGCAGGAAGAACACTCATTAAATAGGAACATTTGACATTTACAGGGATTTAACCATTCTGGGCTGTGAAAATAGTCATTGCTGCTGGGTTAAGGGAATGAGCTTGGAGTTAGTGCAAAGCCTTTGGGATGGGACTGTAATTAAAGTTGCTTGGGTTTTTGGTAGCACTCAAAGAAGCTTTGCACATGAAGTAGAAAAATCTTGCAAATCGTGTTGTAAGTCAGTTTTGCAAAGCTGAATCAGACTTTGTTTTTCTTCAGAAACTGATGCACCAAATGGGAAAGAGCATGAATTATTCAGCATGAATTCTCCAGTAAATTTCCCTCCCTCGTGTGCTGTGGTAGAAGCACAGCAAATGCTGGGGTGTTTTCCAGAGCTGTAAAAGCATTTCCCAAGGAAATTCATGCAGTGGGATAAACAGTGTTGTCTGGCATAGTAGAGAGTTCAGCCAAACAAAGGAAGGGAGATCCATGCAAAAGTGTTCACAACAGTGACATAAAGTGGCAGTGCTAATAAACAAAACAAAAACCAAAACCTGAAGGGTGGGATTGTTGAGATGTTTGGTCATTCCTGCCACCTCACTAGGCAGTTAGGATTCCTTCTTGTCAAGGTTTTATTATGTTGTCAGAGGAGCACAGACACTTAGGATGGGGTAGGTGTGAAGGAAAGGCATCCTGCCCACCCTTGAGCCTGCAGTTCCCAGCAGCCACACAGGCAGCTTGGGCTGATCTGTGTGTTTTACATCTGAGCATGAAACCCTGCTGTAAAAAAAGGTTTTTCCCTAACGAGCTCTCGTGGTTTTAATGAAGCAGAATGTCTGAGCTGTGCCTCTCATGTGTTTCTGCTCCTGAGGAGCATTTGCTCTCTGCATGGTGGCTGTTTTCCTGCCTTGGGCTGTCTGGTACAGGAGCTTGTCATGTGTTTGCTTGTGCTGCAGGGGAAGCGGAGACACCAGTGGACATGGAGACCATTAGCCTGGACCCAGAGGCTGAGGTAAAGGCAGATTTTTGTCCTTATGGGCTTTATTCGGCAGCAAGCAAAGGCAAGTATTGAAACCTGGTTCAAAGATCTCATTCTTCTGAGGTGCTGGCTGCTGTGATCCTCCCCAGAGCTGATTCAGAGCCTTTAGACTAGAAGTAGAGGTGTTCTATTTTTCATCACTAGCTGAAAGGTTCCGTTAGTACTTTAGAATTTTAAATGAAGCCTAGATGCACTCAGAGTGTGTCTGTGCTGCAAGAGCTGCTGCTGGGCTGTGGGCTTCAGGGAGTCTGTTCAGTGAGCTGTTGGCTGCTGTGAGCCCTGTGCTTTGGAACAGGCACAGTGACTTACCCAGCCCAGTGCCTTGGCATCAGCTACCTCGTGAGCCCGTCAGCAGCAGAGGCTTTGAGCTGCTTCTGAGGCTGGGGAAGTGCTCTCTTTCTCTTTGACTTTCAAATCTGGAGCATCTGGGGCTGAACAGCACAGATGGGAAGTGCCTCAGCTGATTGCCAGTGCAGAATTAACATTCACAAAACCACTGGTTATTCAAACTGTCAGTGGTTCCTGCTCATCTGAGGCCTGGAACTGGAAATGGCAACTTGTGTTCTGGTTAAGCCCTAGCAAAGTAGGTAAGAGAACTTTATGCAAAGCTTTATTTATGCAAGAATTTTTCCATCTCAGTAAATTTCTGAGGATTTCTACTTTTGGTAATGCTCAGACTCAGGAAAGGGCTGTTGCATTATATGCAGTTGACATTTTGCATTTGCAGTTGACAGGTTCAGGCTGTGTGTCTCAGTTGTGGTGGTAAAATCATGTGCCAAACCCATTTTACAAATGCTCTTGGAAGGGAAGTTTTAATGAGCTACACATTTTGTAAGACTGTGATTTCCTTAGAACAAAGTGCCAGGTTGATCTTTGAAGAGCAGATTTGTTTTGAAACAACTGCTAAATCCCTCCATTTCTCTTTAAGGATGTTGACTTGAATCATTTCCGGATTGGGAAGATTGAAGGATTTGAGGTGCTCAAGAAAGTGAAGGTAACAGTCCTGGGGAATAGAGAATGCCTCTTTGAACTGGGGATTTTGTAGACATGACCTCTAAGAGGACAGAGAGACAGTCTCTTCTTGGCTGAGGTTTAGTGAGTTGCTTCATTTTTAGCTGGAAAAGGTAGTGTTTATCTATTTGTCAAGGAATAATAAAAATCTTGGCATTTTGCAAGTGTGTTTTGGAAGTGGATGGGAGGCAGTGCATCAGGGCACATCCTGGACTAGCACAACAGATTGAACATAGAATAAAGTGCATGGTAAAGGATCTCAGTAAAGCCCTCAAAGCAGGCCCAGTTAGAACGTGTTGCTCAAGGCCTTCTCCAGTTAAGCTGTTGAGTATTTCCAAGGATGTAGATTTTGTATCCTCTCTGGGCTGCTGTTACTGTATCTGACCATTGTGGCTGAAATATTTCCTTCTATAGAATAGGAGTATACCAAGAAAAGATTGTATTAAAAAACCACACAAAACCTAACAAACCACTAACAACCCAACAAATTCCCAGCAAAACTTCTTGGGGGAACCCTCACCCTTCAGACTGTAAACCAGAAGGCATCACATACAATCCTTCATAGCCATTTTCCTGTTTCTGTTTAAACTTTTCTCAACAATTAGACCCTGTGTCTGCGTCAGAATTTGATCAAGCACATTGAGAACCTGGAGCAGCTGCAGACCTTGCGGGAGCTGGATCTCTATGACAATCAAATTCGGAAGATTGAGAACTTGGAGTCTCTGGTGGACCTTGAGTGAGTCCAGGGGAATCACCAGGATTAGTTTGGGGGTGGTTTGCTGCTCACTGTGTTACTCATGCTGTACTTAGTCCAGTGTTTATCACCCGAGCCTCTCTCAGAATGTATTTAGCTGCTCTGTGAAGGATAATGTCTATTCTGTATTGATATTCAACCTGTGCAGTACACAGATTTCATTATCCTGAAGCTGCCCAGGGACAGGCAGCTGGAAATGAAATGTGCTGTGTGAGGCAGTGAGACTGGCTGGTGGCTGTAACCTCCACTCAGGTGTGGAAGCTCTCAGGCCCCCCTTGCTCCTGCAGTGAGAGCTCTGTGTAACAGGTGTTTATTCCTGCAAAAATGACAGGAGATTTCAGGTAAGGTTTTTGGTTTGGTTTTTTTCAAGAGTGTTAGGGAAGGAGTAAGTACTCTTCCAAGTTTCTGAGTTTCTGGCACTTGCCTGGATCACTCTGGGGGTACATTACAGAACTGTTCCCCCTGGGGTAGGACTGGCCCACTGCTCACCATCACAACTGCTTTCTGCCCAGGGGAGCCCTTGGCATGGTCCTGTCAGAAGCAGATCTTGCAGGCAGGTACCTTTCCCAAGGAAAATGCAGATTGGCTTCCTCCCACTGTGGCAGCTCCATGGCTGGGCAAAATAATGGCTGTCTTCTGCATGTGGCAGATGATTTTTTTTTTCCTAACATACTACAGAAGTATTTTGAGAGTTTTATTTGTTGTGTTTTCTGATAAAAAGGAATTACATTGATGACTTCAGCTTCAAGGCCTAGCAAAAGCTTGATCTCTGCAGACATGGAGGGAGATTCCCCACCAGTTTAAAAGTGCCTCTTTCAGAATCATCCCTGCCTGATGGACTGATGAGACCTTTGGTTTGTTTTGCCTCAGGGTCCTGGACATCTCCTTTAATGTTCTGCGACACATTGAAGGACTGGATCGGCTTACCCAGCTTAAAAAGCTCTTCCTTGTCAACAACAAAATCAGCAAAATTGAGAATTTGAGCAGCTTGCAGATGCTGCAGATGTTAGAGTTGGGGTCCAATCGAATTCGGGTAGGTTTGCTCTGAGAGATGTTGGCTGGAGAGTTTTCAGCTCTGTGCTGTGATATTGGCATTTTCTGAAAGTGCACTGCATTGACTTTGATTTGCAGTTTTGTTGGTTTTTATTGTTCCGGTCACTCCCTGTGCTTATTGCTGTGCATGCTGGAGCCTTTCATTTTGCATTAGTGCCTGGCTGCTAAATCACCATTTGTGAATTTTTGTCTTTAATGAACTCTTACATCCCCCGTGTGTTTCCTTTTGCAGGTGGTTGTTTCTTCCTGCTAGAGCCAAGCCTATCAAAACTAGCAGCTGTTTTCTCTTACCTTGCTACAGGCTGGTGCTGAGTGCATGAAACCTATTGAAAACAAAATGAGTTTGATCTGCAGGTGCAATTGATAGCCTGCTATGGCACTCAGTCTTGTTTAGGAAAAAAATTTTCTTGAGGCTTTGCTCTAGAATGCCTTTAAAACCTAAAACTTGGTACTGTACTGCTGATTGCTTTGGGGTTTTGTTATGTAGATTGTGACTTTTTCAGTTTAAAATCTCTGCCATTTACAGGAGAGCAGGTATGAGCAGTCTCTCCTGTCCCTAAGGTATGATTCATGTATTTGCTCAGTTCATAAGAGAACTGGTAAGACAAATGACACAAAGGACTTGCAACATGCAAAATAATCTCTTTTTTTAAAGCTTTTTTAATTACCTGCTCTTTACAAAATACTCAGAGAAGATGAGTGCATTTCAGTCAGTGTGGTGTAAGTTGGTGCTGCTCATTTATAGTCTCTGAGAAATTACTTGTTATGCTGAAAGATTAGGAAAAGGTCAGTTTGTCCTCTTTGTTTCAGGAGTTGTGGAAGAACACTTGTCTTTGTAGAAAAGAAGGAAACTTCATCTATTAAAAACAGCCTTCTAAGGCAGAAATGTGTGCTGCATTTTTGAAGAGGAAAAATTTTGGTTTGCTCCTAAAGCCAAACTGGACTGAATTGTTTTCCAGGAATTTTTGCTTTGGAAATGAAATTATTTAGAGGGATAAAGAGTGTGAGAACATCAGCCAGGTCAGATGAGGGATTAGGAACCTTAGAGTTTGCACAGGATGGGGGAGCAGGAGTTTTGGAGAGAAGCACTTGGCTTTTTTCAGAAGCAGAGCAGGCTCAGCACACTGATCCTTGCATTACAGAAATTGGGTTAAACAAAACTGTACTGTATTCTGTATCTATGCATCATTATCATCTGGAAAAAAAAATCCAGCTAGATTTCTGAATTGATACTTAGGCTGTACATTGTCAATAATGTTGTCAAGCCAAGGAGTATTTCTAATAATGAGATTAGATTTATTTTATGTGTTTTCTCAATGTTGAGCCTGAGCATATTAACAGAAGAAACAAACAACAACAAAAAACCCTAAATTGTCACAGTATGAGTAACACAAGCTTCTTAAATTACTTTATTTTTGGTGGGTTTTTTTTCTGTTTGTCTGTTAATTCTATTCTGGCTTCTTCAAGCAGCAGTGTTCTATGCTTCTAATTGCTTTATTGGAGTGAGTAACCTGGGACTTGGCACAAGAAATCTCGTGCTGCCTGGGGGTACCTGGAGCTCCTGGGCTGGTTTTCTCTTGGTCAGGGTGCCTTGGCTGTGTTTTACAGCTGGACACACCCTTAACTCTTTAGGGCACAAGCCTGTGGACTCTTCAGGCAGTGTTCTTGGCTCTGAGGTGCCTCATTGACTTCTCTTGTATTAGAGCTGCTGCAGCAGGGCTGTTCTTGCCTACTCAAACCCCCCAGAGTGCCCTTACCTTGGAGTCATGAGCACTTCTTGCTCTGTTTCTTCTGGGGAGCAGAACTTTATGCTTGAGCTGACACATTTAATGCTTTTTTTTTTCTTAAAGTTGGACTGAGGCAGCTGTAATGTAAGCACTTCTTTACTTGTTCTTAGGTTTTTGTCCCCTCATGTTCATCTGTTCCATTCCTCTCCCTGTACTGAGTCATCAGAATTTCCTCCTCAGGGCTGGAGAAGCTGCCAATGAGCAACAAATCCATAATTTTTCTTGCAAGGTCACAACAGGGCTAAGTCCATAATCTAGAAGGGGGGTGAATGCAAATTTGAGCTGATTAACACTGTATGTTCAGTCTTCTGGCAGCTGTGGGATAGAGATTTAAAGCTTCTCACCTTTCTTGAGTGTCCATCTTCTCCTTCCTTGTGTTACTGCGTGCACAGGTGAACACCCAGAGTGATCCAGGTGTGCTGGGACTCAGTGGCCTGGCCCCCCAGCACTGCTGGTTTGAAATTTTGGCAGGCAGGAAGCATGTGGAAAAGCTGAGATGTCACAGCCTGCCTGAGCTCAGTCACACAGCTCTGGGTGTGTCTGTGTCCATATTATTGTTTTTACTGGGAGCTGAAGGCTGGTTGTGAAGTCCTTGTTGCTTTTGACAGTGTCTTGGTTTTTTAATTCAGAGGCTTTTCCCTGTGAAATAAAAGTGTCTCCTTTTGTTTGCAGAAGCCATTTGTAATTTTACCCTTTTTCCTGTTTTCACTCTTCTGTTCATGCTTTCTCCCTTCCTTTGTAATATCCTTGATGCTTCCCAGCAATCCTGATTTTCTCTTCCTGAAGGCTGAGCTCAAGCTGAACTGGAGCAGTGTCTGTGTGTATTTAAAAAGTGTGCATCACTCAGACTGCTGGGGTGTGTTCTGCCAGAAGCAAGGCTGTGTAACCAGAACTAAAATCCAATAACCACACACTGTGAGACAGCTAACTTGGCTTATGGCAGAGAAGCTGAACACTCACCTCTGTGTTATACAGTCACTGATGTGCAGGACTAAATTTACAAATTGTGTTCTTTCCTCCCAGGTTCTCTTTCCATTCACTAGTGACAGCTTTTTTTTTTTCCTTCACAAAGGAGTATCTTGTACCCAGGATACACCCCATGGTTATAATGTGGCTACAAGGTGACAGCCACACCTCCCAGGTGGAGTTCTGCAGTAACACTGTCTCCTCTGCTCCTTTCACAGGTAATTGAAAACATTGACACCTTGACTAACCTTGACAGTCTGTTCCTTGGAAAGAATAAAATCACCAAGCTCCAGAACCTGGATGCCCTGACAAACCTGACTGTGCTCAGTATACAGGTACTGCTTGTGTTCTGAAAGCCTTGCACCACCCTGTGAGACAGGATCAGCTCTTCTCGTTGTTTGGGTGGTTTGGGCTGGAAGGAACCTTAAAGACCATCCTGTTCCACGCCCTGAAATGGGCAGGACACCTTCCACCATCCCAGGCTGTGTCCCAGGCTCCCCCAGGGATCCAGGGGCAGCCACAGCTTCTGTGTGCCAGGCCCTTACCTCCCTCACAGAGGAGAATTTCTTCCTAACACCTAATTTAAACCTGTCTTCCTTCAGCTCAAGGCCATTCTCCCTTGTCCTGTCTCTGCATACCCTTGTGAAAATCCCTCTCCAGCCTTCTTGTAAGCAGCTCTGCAGTGTTAGGGTCAAACTCCTGTGCTGGAAGGAAGTGTGATATTCCTTGTGTTGCCTTTTTTCATCCTTTCATGCTACTTGAGATTGACAGACACTGATAAAATTATAAAACAGCTGTTTGATTTTTGTGGAAGAAAGAAGAGGAAATGAGTGTTATCCTCTACTTCCTTCCTGAAACACTGTTTCCTTATGTATTAAATAACACTGAAAGTGTTATGCAGGTAATCCTTACAATGACAGAGGCTCAGTGTCACTGCCTTCTTACTGAAGAGGCAAGAAATGTGAACGAGCCTGTGCTGAATGCAGTCTGTCCTTAGTGAGCTTTCAAACAGCTTCTTCCTTTTTAAAAGGTGAAATAAAATACACTCAGCTAATTTCTTTCACTGCATCTCCTTCTTACCCATGAGACAGTGCTTGTGCACTGTAGTAGCTCTTAAAGCTGCTGGCAAGCCACACTGACCCCTGCTGTGGTACCTGTGTGTGCATTATTGTGTAGGACATAAAGAATTAGCTTTATGTCCTGCAAGAGTGCAGACAAGACAAGAGTGCAGTGTGATTAAGGTGTGTAACTGCCTCTCTGACTTTCCCATTTGGAAAGACCTACAAAATGAGCACTGTTCATGCACAGGCCTGCTGTTTGTTAAGGCACCCAGCCAAAAAGTTTCAGGCTGCAACTTTTGATGGGAAGGTCAGAGTCTGATTCTTGCTGGAGACTGGGATTCCCTCATGCATCAGTGGTGCAGAGACAACCAGCTGAGCTCCCAAGGTCTCTGTTTCCCCTTCCCAGCCATACTTTAGAGGAGTGGTTTTCCCCAGTGGGTGCCATGGGTCTGGGTTTGTTTGGAGGGTGCTAAGGAGCCTGCTGCACTTGCAGAACAACCGTCTGACCAAGATTGAGGGGCTGCAGAGCCTGGTGAACCTGCGGGAGCTGTACCTGAGCCACAACGGCATCGAGGTCATCGAGGGCCTGGAGAACAATGTGAGCTTTTGCCTGACTCTGCAGCACAGTTGGTGCCCTGAGCTGCTTGGCTTAGTGGCTTTTCTGGAAGTTTTTGTTCCTCAGTTTCCCCAGTTTCTGGGTCTCTTGAGAGACCACAAATATCCAAGTGTTTGTTGTATGTTAAAGTATCTTGTGTGGGTAAAGATCCTCCAGATATTCTGGAGTAGGATTCTTTTTGTGACATGGGGAAGGGAGGTGTGGTTGAAGCAGTGGCCTGACTGATCCTCAGTCATGGGGAGGCTCCTGGACACAGCTGCTGCAGCCTTTCAGACAGCAGCTTGTGGATAACCACGAGTGCTTTTCAACAGGACAGAACTGGAGCTGGGAGTAAGAGAGGCAGCTATAGCATGCAGCTTGCCTTCCTGCCAATGTACATACCTGTCTTTTTGGATGGGATGGATTTTGTGGAAGCCTGGCTCATTTTCACTCTCACCCAGCAAAAACTTTTCTAAAATTGTTGAGTTTCCTGCTGCTAAGAGTTTGTTCAACTGTGCTGCTCAAGGGGACACTTTGGGTCTGATTTTTAATCCTCCTCTTAATGTACTTTGGGGAAAGCTCACTTTTTAGGAGCCCTTGGCTGGCAGTTCCATCCAGCCAGTAACTGCCTTCATTTTTGTCACATGGGGGGTCACTTTGTCACTTCTGGGGGGTCAGTAGCCCAACTTAATTTAAAACAATCTTACTTGTTCCATATAGGCAGCAAGAGTTGAGCTGAATGTGAGCAGCTGGCAATAACATGTCTGCCCCTGACAGTTTCCAACTCTGAGCCTGGAAAAAGTGGCACAGAGAAGATGAAAGGAAATGAGATCTAATATTTTTATGTTTGCTTTGTCTAGAACAAACTCACAATGCTGGATATTGCAGCCAACAGAATTAAGAAGATCGAGAATATCAGTCACCTAACAGAGCTGCAGGAGTTCTGGGTAAGCACAGGCCAGAGCTCTTCCCCAAAATGTCTGCGCCACACTGAGGGAAACCCTTCAGATGGGCAGCATGTGGGCATGTGTGCCTTGGAGGGAGCTCCTCCAGTTCTGGTGATCACTTTAAGGTCTGACAGTCTGGGTAAGTGTGTGGTGGTTTTCCCTAGGGAAAGGGAACAGCTTAAAGATTTCTTGCTGAGCTTTGCTGAGTGGTAAGGAGCCTGTCTGTGCCTAGGAAATGGGCTCTGCCTTCATGCTCAGGTTGGTTATGAAACAGCCCCACATGTCCTGTTTCTGCAGCTCTTCTTTCTGTGAGCATGACCAGAGGAAGCAGAGAGCTTGTTCAGAGCAGGGTTGGTGTGTTTGTGGTGTTATAAATATGAAGAAAATGAAACCAACTTCTGCTTCCATTCCTATGAGGCTGGTAACAGCTTAGGATTGCTTCTGTTTCTTGCTGGCAGCCTGAATTGCTGAGCTCTGTGGCTTTCCTAGGTCAGGTCAGGAAATTCAGAGATGCCCTGTCCTGAAGCATCAGCTCTGTGCCATGTTTGGGAGCTGTGCACAAACGTGCTCATGTGGAAAATGGAGAAGCAGCAGCAGCAGCTGTTCATGAGCTGGCCTGTGCTTCAGCTCTTGTAGAGTCTCTGCATTCGAGGCTGAGAATAAGAGCTGTGCTGTGCAATGTCTGTCATTTGGAGTTATTGAAACTCTTGGGCAGATGCTGAGAGAAAAGGAGTGGGAAGCAGCTTCAAATGGAGCCCAGCTGGAGTCTGGAGCCCAGGCTCCTTGGATGGTGCTGCTCATCTTGCAGCAGGGCTGAGCAGCCCCCCAGCAGTGCTACCTGGCCATGCCTGCCTGCAGGGAGCTCTCTAAGGAGCAGGGCTGAGGAGAAGCCCATTTAGCTGCCCAGTAATCTTTGGGCAGTGCAGTGTGGCTGCTGTGGGGCATGTCCTGATCCCCTGCAATTCCCTCCTGTTTTCCTCTTTGCTGTGCTGTGCTCACAGGAGGTGTCTGCACTGCTTGCATTTGTACTGAAAGGAGAGGCCAGAGCTGAACATGGCTGGAGTCCTTTGCAAAAACACCAGTGTGTTTAGAGTCCTTTGTCAGAGCAGAGTACTGGCCAAGATCTGTTAGCTGAGCACAGAAAATGCCCCAAAAATGGCTTTGTTCCAGCCTTCCAATACTATGTTTAAAAAAACTGATTTGTTTGAAAAGGAGCAGGGCAGAATTTTCAATGGAAACCAGTGTTGTATATCCCAATTTATTTTTTATTTTCACTGACTGCACAATTGAAGCCACATAACAATGTCCTTTAACACCTTAAGTAAACAGAATTCAAAATCCTGTCCACTGTGATAGTCTTGTAGCAGTTTCCCAGTAGCACATCCCCAGTGGAGGGACTGAGATACCTGCAGGTTGAGTGACTTGGCTGAAGGAACATTGTAATGAGCTGTGGCAGAATGAGACCATTCCAGTGAGGTTTTTTGTGTTTGATGTGAAGGTGGCATTGCTGCAGTGACTGTATCCAAAAGCAAAGGGTGCTGTTGTCTCAGGGCTGGGCAGCATGGGGCCACCTTGCAGCTTTGCTTCCTTGTTGGACAGCTGAAGCATTCATTCCTTTGTGTGCAATTGCTGAGCCAACAATGAGGCAGGAGAAAGAACCCAAATCAGAGAGCTTGGCATTTCCTCTGGAGTGTAGAAGCAATTTTTTGCAGGGAAATTTATGTAGAGGAGAGAGGAAAATGTTGCTTTTCATGTCAGTTTGGGACCTTTTATAATGTGTCCTGAGAAGTCATTAAAGTGAAGATGGGTGTCACGGTGGAAATAAATGATGATATAACAATTTCCAGCCCATAAATGCACAGTGGAGAGGGAGATGGTGCAAAGACTGGCCTGGTGTCTTGCAGGGTCTCTCCTGGCACTGGTTGGGCTGGATCTGCTCTCTGAAGGGTGGGGCATCTGCCCAGCAGCCAGGACAGCGTGGGGGTGTTGGGTTTAGTGCTGAGGCCTGGCATGTGAGACAGGAGAGCTCATCTCAGGGTTCCAGGGCAGGAAGGATCTTGAGGAGGAGGAGTTTGTGAGCGGTGGTGCCTGGCAGCAGTGACACAGCACCACGGCTGCTCCCCTTTTCTGGGGGTCCCCGTGGCTGTGACCATGCCTGTGTGTGCTCTGCAGATGAATGACAACCTCATAGAGAGCTGGAGCGACCTGGATGAGCTGAAAGGAGCCAAGAACTTGGAGACTGTGTACCTGGAGAGAAACCCCCTGCAGAAGGACCCCCAGTACCGGCGCAAAATCATGCTGGCCCTCCCGACCGTGCGGCAGATCGACGCCACCTTCGTTCGATTCTGAGCCTCCTGTGCCCTCCCTCCCCTGCCCTCCTCCAAGAAATGTCCCAGCAGGGTTTTTTATCCACTCACCGCTCCCCAGGTCTTCAGTACACTGACACACACAGGGCAAAAAGTCAACAAAAAGCACTGAAACCAGGTCTCGTGTACAATGCACTCATTGTTTTTGAAATGTTGTTATTATTATTATTAAATCTTAACACAAGAGCCTTCAGTGTGCTTGTGGTTTTTATTTCATGGGGGAGGTTTTACCAGAAGGTGTTTGCAGCAGGCTGAAGCCGTGGGAGCCACTTGCTGACCACTGGTGACTGTGACACACGTTCAGGTTGGGAATGTCCTGACAAACAGCACCTCCAGGTCAAGGCCCAGCAGTGGCCTGTAAAAAGGTGAAAAAAGATCTGACCCAGGTTAGTTACCAGGTATACCTGGTGGGACAACATGGGGCTGCAGGGGGAGTAGCCTTTCTGTACTCATGTTTTTAAACACAGCTACAAGCTCATGAGAGGACTGGGGACAAACTGGTGTTAATATATTAATGGTGAGCAAGGTCAGGGTTTGGTAACGCTTTGTTGCAGACAGTGTTTGCCATCAGAAAATCTGAATCACATCCTGCTTCTACTGAAGAAGGCAGTGTGGTATTGCTGTCCCTTTGCACCTGTGTTTGGTCTGGACCCTTGAGCTGCATCTGCAGCAGTTGAAAAGCCCTGGGAAGCATCATCCTCCTCAGGTGCTGCAGCCCTTCCCTTTCATGAGGGTGATGCAGTCCTCAGTCCTGTTAATGAACTCTCCCAGCTTCCTGTTTCCCGTTAGAACACCCAGGTGAAGTGGCTGGAGCCCTCCAGAGCAGGCACACCCTGCCCTCAGCTCCTCGTTTCATTCACAAGACAAAGCCCAGCCCCACCAGAGCACCAGGTCCTGGAGGAGAGAGACAGGACAAACGTGGCTTTGGGTTCCATCACGAGATCCTTTCCTTGCCTCAGGCTTGGTCCTGCTGTGGGAAACCATCCCCCAGGAGCTGAGCTGGCAGCAGGACACTGAGAACAGGGACTTGCAGGAGAGATCTGCTGCCATCCACAGGACCTGGAGGAAGAAACTTCTGGACAGGCTTCACTCTGCTGGGATTCACACAGAGAAGGTACCCAGTGATCTGACTCCAGACTTCTATCCCCTTGTGGTAAATGATTTGGGGTTTGGTGGATCCAGGGGAGGATACACCCTGCCATGGGAGCTCCTCCAGGAGTGGAGGCAGGGGTGGATGTGTTTGTGTTCATCTGCTGGGTCAGCTCTGCCAGGCTGATCCACACAGCACAGTCACCCCAGTGCTGCCACACAAACAGCTCCAGGTGCCAGCAGCCTCATCTGTTATCTGTTATCTTCTGCTGGAGTCACCTTCTCCCACGGCACATGACTCCTCTGGAGAAGAAGGTGCTGCTGAAGGCACCCGGAGCCTGCTCTGCTACTGTGCAGCAGCTCCAGCTCCAGGTGCCTCTGCAGGTGAGGGGCTGAGGTCCCCAGGCTTGCAGGGGAAGGGGACAGTGCCTCAGAGCTCCTGGCTGTCCCACTCTGCACCAGCAGCTGCATTTCTGTGGGGCTCTGATGGGGTTTGCAGCCTCCTTGCTTTCCAGGGGACCTGGTGACCCCCCAGTCACCACTCCTGTCCCATGGACAGCTGTGGGATCTCACTTCATTTTGCTTCTGAGCTTCTCCTCCAGAGCCCCATCCCTTCTTTCTTTGGCTCTGAAAAGCAGGTTCCTGGGTCTTTGAGCAGGGCTAAATGTTGTGTTTGTGAGGGTCTCAGGATGAGGGAAGAGATGAATCTGACTCCATATTCTTAGAAGGCTGATCTATTCTATTCTATTCTATTTATTCTATCCTATTCTATTCTATCCTATCCTATTCTATCCTATCCTATTAAAAATTATATACTAAAACTATACTAAACTATAGAGAAAAGGATACATCAGAAGGCTAGAAAATGAATAATAAAAAGCGACTTCTCAGAGCCTCGACACAGCCGGCTTTAATTGGTCATTAAGTAAAAACAATTCCCATGGAACCAATCAAACATGCACCTGCCACATTCCAAGGCAGCAAACACAGGAGAAAAGAATCAGTTAATTATTGTTTACATTTTTCTCTGAGGTTTCTCAACTTCCCAGGAGAAGAAATCCCGGTGAAGGGATTTTTCAGAAAATACCATGGTGACAGCTAAAGGACAGGGGAGTGCTGCTGCCACATGGGCAAGGAGCACTGAGGCAGGGGGACTGACCCATCAGAGAGTGGGAGCACCCATGTAGTCACAGCACACCTGGGCCTGAGGCAGTGCCAGCTGGTGTGGGCTAACTGGTGCCAGCCTGGGACCCTCATCAGCCCTTTTGTCCCACCTTGGCAGACAGGAAGAGGCTCTGTGTGAACCAGAGGAGCCCTTCTTTCCCTGGGGCTGCTCTGGATGCACTCCTGGGCTCAGAGCCTGGGGTGTCCCCTCACAGCCCTGCCATGGCTCCTGCAGGTTTGTTGGCTGCCCCACAAACCACCTGAGCTCTCTGGGGATGCCAGTGAGGGCTGAGTGCCAGCTGGGACAGACCAGCCCCTGCACGGGCTGGTGTGTGCTGTGGGAGTGCCTTCCCACACTGGGGTGCCATCTCCCTGTGCCAGCAGGCTGAGAGCCCCCTGTCCCTGCAGGGAGCCCAAGGGGATGCCCCAGAGCTGGCTCAGGAGCTGCTGGCATCATGGAGGGGAAGCAGATCAGCACCAACCTGCAGGAGCTCACATCTGAGTGTGCCCTGGCTTGTCACACATCCCTGAGCTCACACAGGGTGCCAAGGGCATGTTCAGCAGCAGAGGACATGGTGGCCCTTCTTTGGCTCCTCCAGAGAGCTGAAGTGCTGGTGGCAAAAGCAGAAGCTCCTCTCAGCCAAGGAGGAGGGTGAGGAGGGGCAGTCAGCCCTGGTGGAGCAGGCACACAGGGCTGTGGGTTCAAAGGGCTGCTTGATGAATTCCTGGAGATGGATGGGGACTGGCCTCGGGCTGGGGAGTGCTGAGGGGTGCTGGGAGAGAGAAAGCTGGGGTGGAGAGGCAGGAATGCAGGAGTCCCCAGAGGAAGGAGCTTTCACCCTGAGCAGCCTGCAGGGGCTGCAGGGAGAAGGGCTGCCCCACTCCCCACAGGACAGGGCTGTGAGATGCTGCAGTTGATGCTGACATCTCAGTCTGTCCCTCCCTCCCTGCTCCTCGTCCTCCTCCTTCTCCCAGTCCTGCAGTTTGGCTTCATCACCATCTTTGTGGCAGCCTGTCCCCTGGCACCCCTCTTCATCCTGCTCAGGAACAGGGTGGAGATGTGCCTGCATGCCCACAAGTGCACCTGTGAGCAGCCTGTGGCTGGGTGGGCATGGAGCCCTGGCACCTGGCTCTGCACCCGAGGGTCAGCGGGGTGTGAGGGGCTGCAGGTGCAGTAAGGGAATTGGGGAGAACTCCTTTGGGTGCTGCAGGATGCAGCGTGGTGAGGGGAGCAGTGCTCAGGGTGGGTGGCCTGTGCAAAAGGTGCAGCTCTGGCCATGGGCAGTGGGCAGCTGTCATGCTCTTGCTTGGCAATAATGGGGGAAGAGAACAACTGTCTGCTGTTCCAGACCAGGGTCATGTCTGGTTTGGCAGGCTGAGGGCAAGGAGAAGCACAAAACCACCCCAGAAGCACAGGGCATGAAGGAGGGTGGGAATGGGGTGTCCCCCAGCTGCAGGATTTCCTGCTGCACATCTCCAGGCCCTCCTCATAGCCTCCACCTCTGATTTTCTGCCCCATGCATACTACAGGCACATCCACAGCAGCAGCCTGCACACGAACTTCACCTTGGTGCACACACCACAGACTTTGTCCTGCAGAGCAACGCCCATGCAGGTGGGAGCCTGCTCCTGCCTCAGCTGGCTCCTCCTTCCTCAGGCTGGCATTTTGCCTTTCTCTGACTCTGCCACAGCAAATATTTTGTTTAGCAGAGCGAGTTTTAGCCAGGTCCACGTTGTCCACCCACTTCCTTGAGGTCCTGGGGCCCTCACTCGTGCCAGGGCTGAGTGTTTGGACACGTCTGTGTGCAGGGTGGGGAGGGTCACTGGCCACCCTTGTGGAGGGAGGGGTTTTTGTGAGGAATAAACTCCCTCAGGGCCGGGTTACCCGTGACTTAGGGCCCAGCAGGAGCTGCCTGAGGGCTGGTCCTGCTGTGCTCTGGCATGGCAGGCTGGGAGCAGGAGGAATGCTAGGGAGGTCAGTCAGTACCTGCTGCACTCTGCCCCTCAGTCAGGGAGCCCTCAGGGCCAGGAGGGCAGCCTGCCCTTGGCCACATGCTCGGGTTTCATCATCCCCTTTGAGGTGCCAGCTGCTGAGCCCAGCTGGGTGGCACAGGGTGTGCTGCTGGGGCAGGGGTAAGGACTCAGCACACCTCCCATCCTCTCCCAGCATTTGGGTTTCCCTACTGGATGTGATTGCACGGCTGGTACCTGACATGCATGAGGTTAAGATGAAGTGTGAACAGTACCTGGCCAAAGAGGCTCTGGCTGAGAAGTAGCTGAGCAAGAGCTGATGCCTCCCCTTCCTCCCTTACACCAGCAGCATCCCTGGCACCAGCTGCCTGGAGGCAAGCAGGTTTGTGTTTCCCTATGAGGAGGGCACAGTTCCCACCCCTTTCCTGCTCTCACCCCCTTCCTTCCACCCACCACTTGCCATGTGAGTCCCACTCCTTCAAGGGCAAACTTGAATCCCTGGCTAAACCCAGGCAAGCATGGGCTGCCCTGGATCTCACCCCACCAGCAGAAATAATATCCACCACACTCCAAGCTGTTTCAGGTTTTATTTTAGAATTTATAAAATTCCAGTGTCATCCATACTCATGAGCCTTTTTACATGTTTGCATATAGTCTCCAAATTCCAAAGTTAAGGCCAAGGGATCATTGCTATGGAAACGTACAATATGGAAGACGTCAAAGAGAAGAAATGGACACATGCCACAGTCTGCTGCGGAAGGAGGGTGCTGGGGACAGTACTAGGTACAATCACTTCATGACCTTCTTTAGAGTGGAAGGTTGGGCTGTGGGGCATGAGCCCAAGGCAGTGGGTGCCCTGGATGTAACTCAAGCCTTGCTGTGCAACTGGTGAGGGCACGGGGGAATAAAGAGGAGGGGGTGATAGGCTTGGTGATGCAGGGCAGACCTAAGCTACAGGGTATT